TACCAATATACTTTATTTATTGAATATCTGWATATTTTAGCCGATATCKCAATATATCTGGCTTATTAATATTAATTTATTTACTATATATATTTTTTAGCAAACACATGTAACAACGTATATGGCACTTTATATGGCTCGCCACCCAAGATATTGAAACACCAACGAAAATCAGTATGTCAAAGTGAAAATAGAAGTAAACAAAAAGGCAAATATCGAAAACATGTTTTTTATAGCAGGTGATCCATGTAGAGGTACTTTTTCGATAGCCTTTTTAGCAGGGACCATAACTCTTATAACTTGTATCAAAAAAATCAAAAAAAAAGAGTTATTTTTGATTTTTATATATTTAGATCAAAAATAATAGTTATTTTTGATTTTTATGTTTTTTATCAATTATAAAAATCAATTAAAAATTTTTATTTATTTTTTAGAGCGAAATAAAAAAATTCTAAAATTCTTAGCTTACGTAAAACTTAAAAAGTAATGGTTACTACTGCGAGAGGCTTATGAGTTTTGGCTGCCATTCAAGTCAGTGTTAAGAGGTTTTTTCAGGTGTTCAATTTTACCATCATAATCGATTCTAAATGTTCCTCACATAAATTATATCTCATTATATACCTTTCTACACTGACTTGAGTGGCAGGTACAGAWTGAACAATTAAAGCTAATTTTCGAAGCCATGGATACGCAAATTTTTTGCTCTTCCAATATTAAAATAAATTAGCAGGGGTATCCAAACGTTTTTCTTTATAATTATCTATTTCAAAATACGCTTTTCGGAGGCTGCCATTTATTCACGTAGGAATGTCATCTTCATCCGAAGACGAATAATTCATCTCCATTGACTTTAAACCGTCAGCTTACAAAGATCGAGAGCTTGCAACGGAGCTTTCATCTATTAGAAATAAGTCTTCTGCAACAGGTGGTGTCCAGCAGGAAATCGCTGAGTTTCAGTGTTTTGCTTAAATACAATCCAAATAAAAAAACATTAAAAATGTATTATAAATTATTACAAATTATTTTAAATTTATTGTCTTAGCTCACCACGTTTACTAGCTGGAGCACCATTTTTTTTAAATGATTTTTGGCCGAAKTTATTTTCTCATTTGACAACACACGCTTAAATCTGGGGTCTAAAAATAGGGCTGCATACATAGTGTCACATTCAAGCAACTTTGTTTGCCTTTTTTCGATGTGATCCAGAAGTTGTCTGGTCATCTCAGTATTGAAGTCTTTTAGAGTAAAAATAAACTCTAGCCAATTTTTATAAAAATCTCAACAATAAATTATATTTTTTTAATTTCAGCGTCAGTACGAGTATTACTGGTTGTAGAGCCTGCATAATTTTTTCTAGTTCCGCCCACTCATGTCTTTGGAGTAGCGCCGATAATGGCAAATTTTCACAGCAAAATTCTTTTAAGTGTAGAAGTCGCTTCAACATATCATAAGTGGAGCTCCACCGTGTTGGTACGTCCAATATTGGTTTGAGGGTTTGGCTACTTTTTATACCATGTCTGGAATAGAATGAAAAATTTAACAAGAACACATTTTGTACATGCGAAGTTTAAGGAAATAACTTACCGATATGCAGGTGTTCTCTAATATTTTACACAATTCCGTGACTTATTCACTACATTTGTATTTAAGTTATCTAAAAAGTCTTTAACAGCTAACTGCAATGTGTAGGCAGCACATTTAATAGAAATAATGTTTTCGAATCTTACATTGCATACAATACTTACGTAATTGTCTTCTATTTCACTGTCACTTTCCTTGTCACCACTATGCAATGATAACAGCTCCACCGCTTTCACCATATTCATGCCGTTATCAGTGGTTACTGCAAAAACTTGCGCCTTATCTATGTATATTGAAACTTTTCCAAACATTTTCAATTTTAGTGGTTAAATATTGCGCAGTTTGTTTTTGCTTCAATTCAAGCATGGCTAGTGTGAATATTTCAAGTATATTGGATGTGATTATTTGCACATTTACACCCAAAATAGCCCGATCATGGCGATTAGCTGTATCCATTTTTAAGCAAAGTATTTTATTTTTTATTAAATTTCTTATATTATATTTTAAGTTATCACACTGATCTTTCAAATAGTGTAAAATATTTCTTGAGTTTATTTTTAGAATATGTAGACCATCAAATATTGGCTTTGTTAATGTATTAAATGGCTCACTATCAAGATGTGACAAGGGCACTGATTAATTAATTTAATTTTTTTTTATCGTTTTTGCATGCTTCACTGCTTTCTATTTTAGCCCTTTTGTCATCATATACATATATCACTATGGTCCTTTTGTAAATGTCTTTTCATATTAGCTAAACAGAGTGCACTAATTTTTTTTTTTTACAAAGTTTACATTCCCCATTCTAGCCTTCAATAATATAAAAATCACGTATGAATACATTTCGTTTTCTTCCCATTATGAACTTATATCAAACTTTTACTTTTTCAGTTTTATAAATGAGCAGTGCTCATCACTTCTCCCTCGCGATTGAATGCTATCATGTAATATGCAATACGCATTGAAATTAGCAAATTGAAACCAACAATAAGATTGATTGAGATAATTTTATTATTGATTTAAAAATATAAAAATCAAAAATAGTTCTTATTTTTTGATCTAAAAAAATAAAAATCAGAAATAAAAGTTATAATAATAAAAAAATAACTTGTATTTTTGATTTAAATATATAAAAATCAAAATTTAAAAATCATACAATATTTCGCATATAGTTCACCTCAAAATCATGATGGTGTAATCAAAACTTGTCTATGATGTTCCTTTATGTATGATTTTTTTTATTAAAAATTGTAAAATAACTCTTATTTCCGGTCCCTGTTTTTTAGACCGATCAGTTCAGTATTTGTTCAGTATTGTTTGGTATTTCATCATGGACAACAACCTTTACAAATCGTTCGACTTTTTTAAGAAAATTTACGTTCTGCAAAAATTGTGTTTCACGCGCTTCGATCAACTTAACATAATCGGCCTACTGAACGTACTATTATCAACACCATCACTCATCTTGAGACCCAGAATTCATTATTGGATAATATTCGACCGAATAGACCACATCCAGCCCGCAGTAAAGCAAATTAAAGTAAAATTCTAAGAAAATCTGAAGTTTTCGAGCCAAATTTCGCTCGGTCACAAATTTTTTGTATGGAAGTAATATGCATATATCAATGGCTATGGGCATAATAATCTTCCGCTGTCAACTATCATTTATTGTTCTGGTTAGATATCAATCAAGATTCCTTTTCTCGGTAAATTGTACCAGGACTCTACTGACAGATGGTCGTGTTGCCGATAAAGTTTGGTTAAGGTGTAACCAGACATTGTGAAGGCGGCCCTTAAAGATCAATGTAGTTAAGCTGATTGACTCGAAAGTACCACAGTTATCGATCTTTAGAAAATCGTAGACCGACGGAACCTCTTAAAGACTGGTAGTGTTCTATTCGAATGAAATGAAATAAAATGCAAACGCCGCTTAACTTTTACCGCCTCTTTTGGCTACGTTAGCGCCTGAATGTAATCAACTCTTTCAAAACACAGGAATTTTTGGAACTCTTGACTATGTGGGTGGCTATAAGCGCCTGTAACTAGGCAATACTAGCAAAAGAAATGTTGTGGAACATAAGATTTTTGTCAATGAATAAATAAGGCAGCTTTCAGTGCGCTGTACACTATGCAACAATTTATTGAATTTTGGAAAACATCAGCAACAAGACGAAAGCTAAAAGTTATACATCTTATTTATTATGTTAAAGCAATAGAAAAAAGTATTGCTTGAGTACCACATTAAAATTGGTTTTGCGGTTGCTGGCGCCACATAAATATTAACGCCCCGGGAACTAACTGCGGTATTTTTTTGGACATTTTTCCGTTAAGTGACTAAGAGCAGAAATGGTCACAAACGTAGAATCGTGGCCCTTGTCAGCTGATACGACCTATTTTATGGGCGCGCACTGTAATACTATGTTCAGACCGAAAATTTAAAAGATTAGATTACATTTAAGCATTTCATAACCCAAAAGTGTTCTTACTGCCGTTGGTGATTTATAAATCAGATGTTTTTGACATTCAGCCATAACTGTCTCTTATACACATCTAGATGTGTATAAGAGACAGCGTCTTGGTTCGTTCCTTGCTTTTCTGAAAAAGTGCTAAAAAGTGGCTAGCAGAATCGCTAGTGAGCAAAGTTAACGAAACTATTGCCAGCTGAGTGAAAACTATGAGCGGTTTGTGCCAACAGTTAACTGGCAATAGTTTGTTAAATGCTCACTAGGGTGAGTGAAAAAGAAATTAGGCACTGGCCTAAACAAAATTAAAGTCTATTATAATATATTTTCTTTAGCAATGTATGGTTTTTAAGATATTTAACATTTTATGGACCAAGTTCGTGTTATGTGCCTTTTTGGTGACACTCATACATAATATTTTTCGGATTTAAGGCTCGCTTAAGTATTTTTATACCTTTCATGAAAATGAAATGGTATATTAACTTTGGTCCGATGTTTGTAAGTATAAGAAAAAGGAAAGAAAGAAAAAAAAAGGAGATAGACCCATACCCAAGTATACTAAAATGATCAGGAGCAGTAGGAGATTCGATTTAGCCATGTTCGTCTGTCCGTCTGTCTGTTTGAACCGAAACTACTCCCTCAGTTTTTAAGATATCCGAATGAAACTTGGTAGGCAGATGTATTTCTATATTCTATTAGACATTTGTCGGAACCGGACCAGATCGGACCATATATAGCTGATATGACCTTGATTGTTCAGATATGAGATTTTGCTCTATATCTTTGGTACTAAAGCAGCTAGGAACGTGCAATTTGACACTCCTATGAGAAAAAAAGTAGTGTTTTAAAATGTAATACTTTTTACGCTAACAATGCAGTATTTAAATTAGAATTTTATATATTCATGAAAGGTATGAAGGCTTCGGCATGGCCGAAGACAGCCCTTCCTTACTTGTTTTTAAGTATTTTTTGACATTTTGGTGAGTTTGGCCTTGGCCTAAGACAATGACATAATTGGATCGTCAAATTTCTTAACTTTTCATTCTATGCAACTTTACTGTAGTGTATCCTATACTTTTACAAAATAAAGCGACAACAACAAAAGATCAGAATAACTTTTATTAACCTTTACTTTACTACTTTTTCACATTTCAACCTCACTAAACATATTTTTTCTCCAATAAGCTGGCATCTCTAGTATTATTTGGTATTGTATATTTCTGGCATCTCGTGGCTGACTTGTTGCTCATATTTACCGCTATGTATTTTGGTAGTAAGTAAAAAGTGGGGAATCCCCTATTTGATTTTGACGCTTTAAGAGATATGTTATTTTAAAGTTTGTTGTGCTAAGTGAACAGTTCGATATTAGAAAGTGCAAGATATTACATACATAGTTATATAATTAAATTCAAATGGCTACTACCTCATCTAATGTTCGTGTTCGATCCTAGGGTTTTATTAATTGGGTTAATTGGGTATTCATCTCATCAAATAATCGGGAGTAAACTGCCATCTAATCATCAAGTGTTAAAGTCATTGTTTTACAACATTCGTGAAGTTTGATTACCTTTTAGTGATATTGCAAAACTCACTCTGACGGAAGTTCTTGTTTTCTGGGAGAAAGCTAGAATACCTTATCAATTACAAAAAAATGGTGTTCGCAAAGTCGAAAAATTATGTAACGAATGGAGGGCACTTCTGAAGTGTTCAAGATTGAAGCACAAAACGTCAAGAGGAAAAATATCTTGCATTCACATCCAAACTGTCCGATCTTTTTGATGTAGCAGTGGAAGATGCCATTTCAAAAATGTCAAATCAGGAAGATATTAAATTTTTGACATATCAGAGAATGAAAGGACGTCCAGGCCGTATGGAAGGTATCGATGTGAATACAGCTCTAGCTGAAAAAAGAAGAGAAGTAAGAAAAGCAAAAGCAGAAGAGTGGCGATGGCGACAGATTTCACCAGTAAGCGCTGGTAAGTTTATAGTATAGTTGCCCAATTTTACTTAAAAATTAGATACTCAAACCCATACTTATATAGGTAATAAAATGCTGGCTCTTAGTAGCTATAGCCTTTATTCGTTCCTATTTGTTACCAACATCAACAGTATTTTTCTCCCAAAATCCATACATTTTCTTTCCTTTTTTCATTGCACCAGAAAATGTACGAGACATCTCATTGTCTTCTGAATCAGAAGTGGAAGAAATCACCTCGGACGAAGTATTTACCGATGATGAAAAAGCCAGCAAAGCGGAGACAGCGAGTAAAAAGAGGAAATACAGTCGTGGTTATAAAGAAGTAATGACGGAAAAATTATCAATTTTGCTAGATAGGTGCAAAATTTCTGATAGAAATGCTGTGCGGATAATTTTGGCAACAGCTGAAAGTCTGGGCTGTAATGTCGAGGATTTTACACTTAGTAGAAGTGCTTTAAGAAAACGCAGAATATCCTTTCGAAGTCAACGGGCCCAGAAAATCAAGGCGAGGTTTAAAAACTTAGACTTAGAGGGTATTGTTGTTCATTGGGATGGAAAACTTTTACCAAACCTTCTTCAGAAAAAATGTGCTGAACGGTTGGCAATCTTGGTAAGCAAAGGAGACTATGAACAACTACTAGGGGCCTCGGAATTGGAAAATTCCACAGGCGCCAGTCCGGCAGAAGCTCAAAAATAGCTCAGAATAGTCTACAAGAATGGGATATTGGCGATAAAATTGTTGGTATGTGTTTTGATACGACGGCTTCCAACACAGGACGAATGAAAGGCGCATGCACCTTGTTAGAAAAACAGCTAGGTAAAAGTTTGTTGTACTTAGCCTGCCGCCATCACATTTTAGAAGTCGTTTTACGGTCAGTATTTGAGTACAAAATGGGATCAACGACTGCTCCCCAACCTGACATTTTTAGAAGATTTCAAATACATTGGCCTAACATAGATCAGTCTAAATACATTGAAGGGGTACAGGATGATTCGGTAAAGAAGTCAGTGAAAGAGTTCGAAAAAGAGGTTTCGGAATTTCTTCTCTTTCAGTTAACTAAAAAACAGCCGAGGGATGATTACTTAGGACTTATTAAGTTATGTTTAATATTTTTAGGAAAAGTCCTTTCTCACGATGTTTCGTTTAACACTCCTGGTGGTTATCATCACGCCCGTTGGATGGCCAAAGCCATTTACTCTCTGAAAATGTTCATTTGTAGAGAACAGTTTTCTATGTCCGAAGAGGAGTTCAGTTCACTAAAAGCTATTTGTTAATTTATTGTTAATGTGTATGTGTAAAGATGTGGTGTCAAGCTTCAACGCAATAAGTGCACCTAGTAATGATTTACAATTTGTTCAGAATGTAATTAAGTACAGACGTATTGATCAAGGTGTATCAGAAAAGGTATTGGGAAAATATTTACTTCACCTGTGGTATCTGAACCCGGAACTGATTTGCCTT